TTTTAAGCCGTAAGTTCTCTACGTCAAACCTTTAGATCCGCTGCGCATAGGTTTACGTTTGCTATTGAATTCGTGATTTGTACATAACGAGATCCTCACAGATCCCAACAAGTGGTATCAGAGCACTTGGTTAATTCGTTTTGTACAAAGTTCGAATTTTTACGGCTTTATTTGACAAGATGTGTTCAGACGCAGCCATATATTGGATTATATTTGCATAACTCGGTTTTGCAGAAAAATAGTTAATCCACTATTATGGCCGATTATGTGTTTGATGAATGTTGTTGAATGTGATGTATGGTCTTACATTTGTTTTTAAAGCCTCGGGCATGTCGAGGAATTTATGGATGAATGTTTGTAATAATTATTCGCCCGGGGGTTGACCGGATAGATTTAATTATTTGTTTAGAAAACATGTATACCCATTCGTTGGATCTAGGATCGAATTATGTAATTTTGTAAATTATATTTTTCGTGTTGTGATCGTGTGTTGATAACCGGGAGATCACAAGAGATCAACGAGCCTCGAAGAATTAAAAAAAAAAAAGGAAACGGCGCGTTTTTCCGACCACAGGCGGCGGCGGCCGGCGGCCGGGTGGCAGCCAGGCGGCAGTCGGCGGTTGGCTGCAGGAGGTGGAGAGGTTTTGCCTTCTTGTCCAAGCAGTACAAGATCAACCAGGATTCTACTGCTTAAAGGAGTTCCAGTTGAACAGGGAAAAGAACTGTCACAGTTTCCTTGTTTAAGGAGACTCAATATTTAATGGCCATAATAGTGGATTTATTTATTTATTTAATTAAATTTATTATGCCATTAAATTATTATTTATGCATGTTAATTAATTATGTTCTTGCATGGGATTAATTTAGTATTGCTAGATTAATTATGCATGTTAATTAATTATGTAATGCATAGAATTAATTTAGAATTGTGTCAATAAATTATGCATGTAATTATTTATTGCACTGGCATGGATGAATTTAGAATTGCATAAATTATTGAACATGTTAATTAATTATTGCATTGACATAGATTAATTTAGAATTGCATGAATTAATATGCATGTTAATTAATTATTGCATTAACATAAATTAACTTGGAATTGTATAAATAGTTAAAAATCCTCATTAAATTATACTAAGTTTGAGAAGGGATTTTAAATTAAAGTTAATTGTAAAATTCCTAAGGCCTCCATTTCTAATTTGTCGGTAAATCAATTAATTGCGGTTATGGGCTCGCCCTCGGGTGACATTGCTAAAATTAATTGTAGGAAATTACCAGGACAAATTTCTAAAAGTAGACGGTTAGAGGAAATCTTATGAGAGCGTACGGGCTTCCCCTCGGATGACGTATAATCAAATTTGACGACCTTAGGACCGAGAAATGGGATTCCCTTAGAATGCGATTAAATTTATTAACCCCCCTCGGGGTCCCTGAATTCTATTGCATGGCCAAATGGAGACCGACTATTAATTTCGTTCGTCATGAATTTGGTTTTGACTTATGGAAATTAATGGGCCTTAGAAAAGCCCTTCTCTTACAAAATGCGAGTTTGTAGGGCGACCCTCGTAGCATGCATTCTCACAAGGTGTAATAGATGTCGGTGGATTTAAGTTAATGTTGTTTTGAGGATATCAATATTAACAGTTAAATTCAAAAGTGTTTAATCTGTAAAATTTATTTGCATGATTCTCAGGATATTCATCATGTCGTTCAATCCGTTGTCTGTCATTCTAAGAGAAAATCAGCTTACTGGTCCTAATTACATTGATTGGAAGAGGAACTTAGACATAGTGTTGACTGCTGAGGGTTATAAGTTTGCTATCACTGATGCTTGCCCGGCGGTGCCGGCGGCTGATGCTCCTGAGCAGGAGAAAGAGGAGTATGCTCGGTGGAAGAAGGCTGATGAGATGGCGAAGTGTTACATTCTGGCTTCTATGTCGAATGTTCTTCAACATCAGCATCAGTCTAAGGACACTGCAGCAGATATACTTCTCAATCTCAGGGATCTGTTCGGACATCAGTCTAGGGCTGCTAGGAAAGAGGCTTTGAGTGCTCTGATGAGTACGCGCATGGCCGAGGGCACACCCATAAGGGAGCACGCCCTCAGGGTTATGGCGCAGCTCAATGAGCTTGAGGTTATGGGAGGTTATATTGACGGGGAAACCCAGGTTGATATTATGCTCCAATCTCTGCCGAAGAGCTTTGATCAGTTCCGTTGAACTACAACATGCACAAGATGCATATGGCTCTTCCAGAACTGCTTGCAGAGCTTCAGTCGGCGGAGGCCTTATTCACTCAAGCACCTCAGGTGCTAGTCGCCGAGCATGCTGGACCTTCCAGGCCTCACAAGGGCAGGAAGAGAAAGAAGTCTGCAGGAAAGGCGAAGGCACAGATGCTCCGGTTTACCTACGACCGACCCCTCAGGCTGTGGCAAAGAAACCGAAAGGAAGATGCCACAAGTGCAATAAGTCAGGACACTGGAAGGTCGATTGCCCTCTCCTCAAGAAAGGTAACTCTCTCGTTAATGTCGTAGAAACATGTTTAGCGGTTGTATCTACCAGAACCTGGTGTGTAGATACTGGAGCCACTGATCATGCCTGCAATTCTTAGCAGGGGTTCCAGGAAACCAAGCGACTTAGGGAGGGAGAGATCACAGTCTACA